GAATTTTTTTTATGAAATTTTATAACCTTTTTCGCACTTTCTTCTCTACTTCTATTTTGCTTTATTTTATTTTAGTTTTCCTTTGAGGATATATAAATATAGTTCAAGAAAAAGAGTTTCGCAGGGTATTTTTAACTTTAAATTGAAAAAATAGTGATTAACATACCTTTCTGATGACCATACAACTCAACTCTCATAGATCTCTGCCCAATCCAAGCCACTGGTTGAAAACGAATATATCTTGCTCTGATCGGTAGCTTGAGTTCGTGATGAACAACAGTGTCCTGATCCATGTTTCCGGCGAAAACCTACATTAGCAAAATGTCCACTCATAAAGAACCCCTTCTATTGAACGATACCCGTAGTGCAAGTTCAACATGTGGTAACGAATAGTGTTAAGCCACAGCGATTAGGCAACTTCGTTTCTTAACAAGTCCCTCGGCTGTTATGCTAGGATATCTTTTGTCTATGCTTAAGAAACTTTTAGGAACCGAAAACTGCAGAGTTATTCTGCCTCAAAAATACCAGCTAAACGAGTTATATCTTTTGGGGGTTGGTATTACTTAAGAAAAAAAATAACACGCGAACATTCAGAGTGATCAGCTCAGTTGATTTTGCACATACCTTAACTTTAGTGTGTCCAGGGTCCTTGTAGAATTGGAATTTCAGTCCATCGTTGCTGTACTGTAGCCTATATTTCGTTACCCAATGGGGGTAACGTCCGTTTCTTCCTTGCGTAGCAACACCCGTGACTCTAATGTTTTTATTACGCAGATCAAGCTGGAGCCACTGGCTGCTGTCCTTTGTGTCGGCGGACCAGACAACTGCGTTTAAGTGTAATCTGCCTAAACTGGTTGTATAATCTTCGTCAATTGGTGATGAAGAACTGATTTGCGAGCCTAATATTTCACCGTTTTCCATTCCAAGGGGTTCGTTAATATCTAGAGGTGTTAACAATGTCGGACAGTTAAAAACGCTACATAGATAAGCGTATAATTAAGTGTCTATTTGACGAACATACATTCCCTTGGAGTAAAGTTCCTTTCAGAAGGGTGCGCTTCTCACTGGTTGTTAATGATTTGCAGAGTTAGAGTTGTTTCATTTTGTTTGTTTGCTTTTCTCTAATTAACGAAATGAACTGTATGCAGTTAGTAGAGAGTTCTGTGCAATGGACGAGTCGTCCGTAAGGTAGTTTGCACCTAGCATCATCCTGAGTAAATTTATAAACCTTAGTTTTTAAGTCTACGTGTACGCTCACCACTTTGTCTCCAAGAAATTGGGTCACAAGGCTCCTTAGAAAAGGAAACTTGTTCAATGGCGAGAAGTTGTCCACCAAACTCTTCATAAATACCCAAGAATTCAAGCTGTGTTATGTTTAAAGAAAACGTTCATGCATAAGTCACAAGTACCGGGACTTTTTACTACATTTATGCTAAGGAAGTTTACTTAAAAAGACTTAACTCAGTCTGAAACAAATAAATATAGGATTCCACTGGAATAGAAAGAAGCAAACTTGTATACATATAGGTTGACGATCTTATTCAAGGCGCATGAAAACGTGGTTAAGCAATGATTTACTTTCATGAGTGAACTAATATCAACGAGATTACATTTTGGTACCTTTGCTTTGCTGTAATTGCTTGGCAACGGTATTTGAGTATAATTTATTGCACTTGCTACTTCATCCACAAAGAAGAGTACTGTTGATAGGTTCGTTGTTAACGACTGCAGAACCACCTGTAACGATGTTTTGTACCAGTTGGTCACACCAATGAAATACCATAAACGTAAGCACTTCCATTCGTCAGTGCTTATGGTTGGAGACAAGAGTGTATGATACATGTCAGATGCTTCAGCGCGAAGAAAAATATATGATACTCCTGGACCTAACAGTAACGTAAGAGATTTAATGTAATTATTTGTAATTAATTAAATGTAACATCGATTTCACACATGAGACATTCTTAATATGTTAAGCGTTGATGTCTGTAATTCAGTCACCAGTCCGTCACTCGTTCAATATGTCTGTCAGTTAGTCAGTTTTTGGGTGGGACTCAGAAGGCCTCAATCAATCTAAACCTTATTACAACTTGCTCAATTAAAAATCTCGAACTTGTCAATATAATCCTACCGTAATTTTGTAAATCTAGATTCGGCGCATGTTTTGAAAGAGTCCATCCTCCCCGAGTCTCCCACTCACACGTGTCCTCTCTGAAACTGCAGTCTGGACTTACTAAATGTTGAAAGACAAAGGAGGAAACCTTAAACTATCTTACAAAAACTAATGGAACTCAGTGGTAAAGTTTCGAGGTCTCGTGCCATCAATCAAACGCACTTTAAAGTATTTCTTTGGGCGTTTGGCTTACATTTTTTAATAGCACAGGTGTCTTTTTTAAAACAAAAAATGGTTGGGTTCAGTACGTATATTTGTCAACAGAGTTTGTGCCATTACCAGCTGTATACAAATGGGCTTCAACTTTAAACCCCTTCAACCTTATAATAAACACTCGTGGGTGGATGGTGAAATACTCAGGGCTAAATTAATGTTGCATTGAATTAGCAAAATTTGTTAATCCAACATCTGCTCACCTACAAAGATTGCCGACGTGCAATTGGTCTAACTTTATGGCTTCACTACATTACGCTGCGGCAGCACTCCATAAGTCACGCTCATGTTTAATAGTGCATGCACGTTTGGTCTGTGATTTGCTTATAGACCTATGTATGCGGGAAACTTTATCCACTTTTACGTCTACTCGTGAATTGCTTGTACCCTTTTGTAAAATGCGCCTGATCGCGCATACAAAGTATGATTCTTTTTTCGGGTGAACAGAAATATAGACGGACAGACAATGATCACTGCGTTACAACCAAAATTTTACCAGCTGAACAGGTTACCAGATTTGCTGTACAAAGGGGCTACGCTAAGTACGCTATGAACTTCGCTATTTTTTCGATTTCATTAGAAGATCATTTAAAAAGGCCGTCTCGAAATATTTCAGGGGAGAAAAACTTGAACTGTAGCGATATCAAAAATTATTTTAAGCAATGCCTTCCCTGTAAATAAATCCTTGCTCTGTTTTGCCTCAATTCGTTTCAGTCCATACCTTGTGTAATAACCTTGTCACAGTTTCCATCCAGCACAGA